AATTGTAGGGTGCAGTGTATGCCCAAATCCTGATATTTACCCAAGGGGACGGGACGTGTCCCAGGGGGGGGGGAGTAATACATTAAATACTTGTCATCACATACTTAATAACAGTAACTCCGAATAACATTTTAATTTTAATCGACGTTTCGACTAGTTTGTAGTCCTTCCTCCGGATTAATCCTGAGGATGACTACAAACTAGTCGAAACGTTGATTAAAAATCAAAATGTTATTCGGAGTTACTGTTATTTTGTATTTTCTTAAAATACTGAGTGGTTCCCGTAATCACATACTTGTTCAATCTGTTCCCTGGTTTGTGGTCCGGCAGCAGAGTCAGGATATTGATCATCAGTATTTGGATAAGCTCCAATGATTCCTTCGCTACACAGACGTTTAGGTTGTGGTTCTTCGTCATCTAGTTTGGCATAGATTGCTGCACGAACAGCATCTCTGTCTTCTTCTGTTTTCTATAGGCAATATCATAGATGTTCTACACTATAATGCAATACGCTTTGGGGCCGATTTTGTATCATTGACGTCATTGTCGTTCAACCAAACCTGAAATCAGCTCAATGAATCGTAATGCGCCCTCGCCTCTGCCTTGGGAGTGCTCCAAAGAGGTGCACCCCTCGACGTTACTTGCCCGCTAGGGGGAAATTCTTAAGCGGACTTGGAAAAGTATAGCCTATAGGTTTAAATGTAAAATGTGCAACTCGCCTGTTTTCGCACTTTCGGATTAGGATCGTCATATGCCCATCTTACGTTCAAAACTTCTTGACCATCTAGTTTTTGATCCGACATCGCAATCTATTGTGAAGTAGATCATGTAAACTCTACAATGATTGATGTAACCTAATACTTTATCACTAGTAGTACAGTAATTAAAACGATTACAACGGGTTACCTTAGCAAATTCGCTGTTTACTCTGTTCTTGTATCTCACAAATGCTATTTGACGTTTTGAAATAACTCTGATATCCTACAAAGTCAAAAGGTATACACACTATGCACATATACAAAACGAGGAGTCGTCAGGCAAGCGTATAGACTATAGTTGAGTCCAATTGGTGTATATTCGTTAAATCATGGGAAGATATTAAAGGATTCGCGCACTGAGGTGCTTCGCACCCTATTTGCGCAACTGCTCGCGTAACTTAAATGAAATTTTTTTGCGCACCGTGTTGGGAGAGCGCGCAAGTTAGGAGGGCAAACTAAAGATGAAATATAATGTAGTGAAGTTCAGATTTGACTAGCGCTACTTTTTACTAAGTACGCATGTGATTGGTTATCCGGTAGATTAAACTCATCTGATTGGTGATAAACTGATTATTTTTGGTAAACTCATCTGATTGATTGGTAGTAGAAGTAAAACCTCACTAATAATAAAACTGGATATGCAAATTCAATCCTAGCAATTTCGCTCCCAGTGTTACAAACGCTTGACATGCGAGCAAACGAACAAGCGTAAAAATAGCACAGCTTGACACCCAATACCTCAATTTCACCCCATTCTCCAAACTCTTTCCACAAAATATTTTCCAGTTCCTTGTGTTTTCCCAAACGGCCAACATATAATGTTCGACAGTCTTTCTCAAACGACCCCACGCCTCCCATATTGTCGCTGTGTAACTTGTGTCTTTCTCTGCCAAACACATCGTGCACCATATCTATCCTGTTGGGGTAAAGCAAGGTGTGTGTAATGAGGGTATCCAACTGATAGTGGCCCCTCCTTAAGTCTGGCTGTACACTTCCCCCATCTCCCTCCTCAACAACTCTGGGCAGATAACTATATACGTTTATTTTCTGCATATTGGGAGGGGGACTGGGGTAAGGGGGATATCCATTCATGTGGATGGTATCAAAAAGAACGGGGCAAAGGTGAATGGTGTCAGATGGTGGGAGTACTCGGGTGTATGATGTCAGTGGGGAGGAGGTACTAAGGTGTCAGGGGGGGATCTCAGGTTAATGGTGTCAGGGGAAGGACTAAAGTAAATGGTGTTAGGGGAGGAGGGACTTGGTAAATGGTGTCAGGGGGAAGGGATACTCAAGTGAATGGTATCAAGAGGATGGTGCAGTCAGAGGGAGGGGATACTCAAGTGAATGGTATCAAGAGGACGGCGCACTTAGAGGGGGGGGGGGACTCCCCAAGATTACCGTTTTGCATCTTTATCAGTTGGTACAAGATGGTAGAAGCCACAGTCAGAACCATGTTGGCAACACCCTCTTGCAAAGTATATACAAAAATAAGTCTTTTTTCTTTTTGGATCGAGTAGTTTAGCCTTAGTATGCCCAGCATCTTTGCTAACACAGCATCTGGTCTCTGCAGGCCCTAGAAAAATGAATAGTGTATTCAGAGTAAATATTTATGAAAGAAAAAAAAATTTGTTAATAAGGTGTCCATTGGATAATGTTATAAATTAACTGTATTAATCATGACTAAAATAAATAAACCACAGTATCCCAAAAGTCTACCTTCATCTTTTGTGCCCTTCCAATGGTCCCCAATCCACTTATCATACCATATGTTGTACTCATTTGCCCCTTCAGGTCTCCAGTGTATTTTCTTTGCTTCATCCGGATCAATTTGTCGTCTTGCTTCTCTCTTTCCATATTCAGTATTCTTTATCTCAATTTCATTGGAAGTTTGCCGAAATATAGAAAGCCCTGAACCGTGACTACTATCATCATTTGTCTGGATCTCCTCCCTATTAGTTGGCCAAGAGTCCCACCCCTCTGGCTTTTCCCACTGTGTAGTGTTCGTCAGTAAGTTTTGATAATACCAGTAACCAGATTGGTAATCATACAGTTCGCGCCAACAGCTACGCTCTTCAAAAGGACCCTGCCCTTGATATGCTGCATTAAAAGTGCTGCCATATGACATTGTGTTTACAGTATTGCCATAATAGTAATTTGTATTAGTATGATATGACTGTCCAGCCATTATAAATAAAATAGAAAATCTTGCAAAATATTTATAAATAAAAGGTCTTACAAACTATTTTCCATGTTAATATAAGAGCAGATTTTTTCTTCTTTTGTATCTTGAAGTATTATATTTTGTATTTGGCTTTAAAACCATTAAAAGTTGTGATATTTTTTTTCTTTATTGAAAACATCAACAAATTATTTTGTTTGACGAGAGGCAATACATCAAGTTATAAAATTGAAGTGGTTCCGCGGTTATTGGCGGCAAAATATTCATAATTCATAGTGTATTTTAAAATACTATAAAAATAAGTAAAAGTCTTCATTTAATAAGTAAGCTACGGCAAGAAAATAGATTATAAAGTACTTTGTATTAAATGAAAGGAAGAAAAACTAACCAGCAGGAAAATTTTAAGCTAAATTTTGGGTTTTTTACAATTTTTTCAGGATTTGCGGCATAATTTGCCGAGATGATCCGAAGATTTTCCGATGTGTTTGCGAAGAAAGTGATAAACAAAGATGGCGGGTGATTTGAATAAAAAAGGAGTGGAAAAATTGACTTCGTCGCAACGTGCTGCTGGGTCTGTTCGTATCCTACCAGGACATGTGTTAGTGAATGAAAAATACCAAGGCTCAGTGTTAGTCAAGGTTTTACAAGGTACATAGTTGTTTGTTTTTGTGGTATCATCTATTTTTATCATATGCATGTTCAAAGTTTTATCATTCTATCTCAACGATCAACACTATACTGTACCACATTGTACAGTAACCACAGTGTTATTTTCTGCTGGCTGAGGAATGAAAGAGGCAGGAAATCATTTTCTTGCACACTGCTGGGGGACTGGGTCTAGGGTGGGGTCAGGGTTGTCAGAGTCTGATAGTCACTTCTTTGCTTGCTTCATGCTAGCCTGACCTATTTTAGATCATTAAAGGTCAGGCTGTGCTCAGGGGCGTAGGAAGCATCAAAAGATTGGGGGGCACCGGCTTCTGGGGGCACTTTAGGGTATTGAAAAGGGCATCTAAAAAAATTTTTAAGGTGCCCGGGGTGGGGGAGAGAAAAATTTTCCCATTGTACCATACAGAAATTGCACGTTTTTGACCAAATTTTTAAAATGATGTTAATTTAGTATTTACAGCAACATTAGCTTGTACAAAAAGGGCACTTTTCATCACAAAAAAGGGCACTTTTCATCACAAAAAAGGGCACTTTTAGTCCTTTGAAAAAATTGGGGGCACGTGACCCCC